CTAGTTGATTACAAAGTAAAATTTATTTAAAAATTTCTTATATTATTGATAATGCATATACATATTATAGATAGCTTGAACTTGTATCCTCTAGTGAGAATAAAATTTTATTTTATCACTGAGGTCTCTTTTACGTTTGTTACTATTTAATTAAATATTAGGGTCATTTTTTGACATTATGCCTAATAAATTTAGTTGACTACAAGAGAATATTGTTCTCTCTAGAGGTCTCAGGTTCGAGCAGTTGTGTTTGTAGACAGAATCGACTATTAGGGGAGCCCCATGAGTGATTGCTCAAGCCCTATTTTTTCATCTTTATAATTAGGCCCATAATTTTGAAGTCTCATTTTTTATTTTTATAATTGAGGTCATAATTTTATTCAATCACACTTTTTTTATTTTTATAATTGAAATCTCCAATTTTTCCAATCCCATTTTACCTTTATAATTGAGGTCCCTAAGTTTTTAGTCTCACTTTTTAACTTAATAATTGAAGTCCTCAAGTTTTTTTCAATCTCACTTTCTACCATTATAATTGATGCCCCTAATTTTTTAATCCTAGTTTTTAACTTTATAATTAAGGTCCTTAAGTTTTTTCAATCTCACTTTCCGCTATTTCTACCTGTACAATTGAGGCCTCTTAAGTTTTTTAGGCTCAATTTTTACCTTTATAATTTAGACCCCTATTTTTTTCAATCTCAATTTCTACCTATATAATTAAGGCCTCTAAGTTTTTTCAATTTCATAAAATTTTCAATTTCTCACCTCTTTCTCTATATCTCTCGTTAATTTATTTAATTTTGAATTAAATCTAATCATATTTGTCTCTATTTTTGCAAATCACATTTTTCATTTTACCAAATATTCTTTAATTCTTAGTCTTCTCCAATCTCAATCTAACGATAACATAATACATTATTCTTTATTTTTTAATTTATTATTCAAAATCAAGCTTCATATCATAGTTCATATCCACATTCGATTTTTTATTCTCTTAGTTAAGGTGTTTTCTTAACTAAACAATGAAACTAATGTTCGAAAAAGTTTAATAATTTTTCTAGAATATTAAATTATTTGTTTAAAGTAATAGAGTAACTTTCTTTTTATAAGGGCCTATTTTTGAGTTTTCGTTTAGGGTTTCGAAAATGTTCAAAACAGTTTTGTATGTAGAGTGTGTACGTTGTCAATGACTAAGAAAGATTTTGAACAAATATTATTTTATAATTATCTCATACTATTTTAAAAATATAATCACTAACGTAAAGGTTAAAGACTAAAATTGCCCTTAATGTAAAGAAGGGCCCTTGTACCCTAAAATAAAATATTAGGGGTTAAAATGTTTTTTTTTAAAAAGAGGTCAAAGTGACTATTTAATCAAATATTAGATGTATTTTTTTGGTATTATATCAATGTTATTAATTGATATGTATTTTTTTTTGTCCAAAAGTTCGGGTTTAAATCTAGAATTTAATATTTGAAGTTGTAAGGTTTGAAGTAGGGGTGGCAACGGGGCGGGGTGAGGACGGTTTTGCATAACCTATTCCATCCCCAACGCTTGCGGGTATGGTTTTGGGGAATCCCCATGATATGTTTCAAGGATTTTTTGTCCTCATACTCATCTCTTATAGATCCCTGCAGGTTTCAGTTAATCTTCATCTCAAAAAATAAACAAACATTTTTAAAATAAATACAACACTTAAAACTTGTAAAATATATCAGATTGTCTCAAATTGGTCTCTATCTATAATATGAAAGTTTTGAACATTAATATTTATCTAACATTTTATTTATATGTATAATCTTAATCATTTTTAATCTTAATGTATATTAAATGAGAAAAGATCTAAACTTTAATTTTAGTTTCTTTGATGTTTAACAGTGGCAACAATGTAATCTTACAATCTTATCGTATATGATTTTTTATTAAAATATATATTAAGGGTATATAGGTAAATGATTATAAATATATTTTTAAAATTTTGTAAAATATTAGGGAATCCTACGGATATTTTTCGGTGATCCCCACGGTTGTTCACACGGGTACGGTTCGATTATCCTCACGGTTCGGATATAGCAATCCTCGTCTCCATCCTCATTTGAGCTTCAGGGATAAAATTTCCTTCATCCACATCCTCGTGCTTGAAGATTTCATATACCCATGGTTTTCGGTTTTTCCCCTCCCGATTACCACCCTAGTTTGAAGTTTTATATTTAGGATTAAAAGTTATTGATTAATTTTAAGGAACATTTGAAACAACAAATAAAAATAAAATTTATTTTTGGGTGTTAAATCTAAATGAAACAAAAGTAAAGTGACAATGTTTAATATTGAATCAAAATATGGTGGTAAATTTACCTTAGTCATAAAAGTATAATGACAATTTTCAATCAAACTATGGTGACATTTCAATATTCACCTAAAGCATGATTGGTAAATTAATTCATTAACTTTAAAAATATTAAAATTTTAAATTTTATGTTCAATGACATCTTATATAGTTTATCTTTAATTTTACATATTCAAACCCTACTTTGGAATCCATGAATTATTTCCCGTTTTAATTTATAAGGGTTAAAGTAAAAATAAAACCCTAAATTATCTTTTTTTGTTTTAGGTCTATAAATTATTTTTTTGTCAAAATATGTTCTTAAATTATTATATGTAACCATTTTAAGTCCTGTCATTTTTTTCAATTAGAAGATTTTGTGTGGTAAAGGAGATCAATGTTGACATGTTACATAAAATTAGTTAATTATTTTAATTAAAAATAATCAGGGACCTCAAGAACAAAACAAGTGTAGTTTAGGGTCAATTTTGACCAAAAAATAATTGATGTGCTTAAAGTGGTTACATATAATAGTTTAAGGATTTATTTTAATCAAAACAAAGGTTGTTCCTTACCCTTGCTATTCACCGACATTTATATATCTGTATCAACCGAACATTTTTGTACTGTGGATTAGGGTTCGGCTTCTAATTAGGAATAAATTTGAACATTGCCTTCAAAACATCATTGACCGCATAGTGCAGTGAATTAGCGCGACTTCGAATCAGAAGGTCGTGGGTTCGACTAGAGGTGCACAAAAAATCTGAATATCCGATTTTGTCTAAAAAATATCTGAAATCGGATTTTGGAAAACCAGTTTTTTTTTAAACCGGATCGGATATTTAAAAACCGGATAGTATAACCGGTTTGGGAAAAAATTGAACAACCGGTTTTTTACCGGATTAAAAATCGGTTTTTTTCAAACCGGATAAAAAACCGGTTTTTATCCGAAAAAATCCGTTTTTTTTGCAAACCGAAACCGGTTACACCGGTTACACCATCCAGCCCTCCAAACCGGTTAAAATTCGATCCGATTTTTTTAAAATCCGGTTTTTAGATTGGAGGAAAAAACCGGATCAATTTTTATCTGATCCGGATTGAATTGAAATCCGACTTCTGTGCATCTCTAGGTTCGACTCCCACTGTGGTCGTTATAATTCTATACTGACATCCATTTTAATCACATGACATATTTGCTTCCTTTTACTAGTAAGTTCCGAAACGGTGTAATTGGGAATTTAAAAATGGAAACTGAAAAATATATTATATTAAGTACACCCAAGGTAGTTCCTTTTATTAAAACAAGCGGTGTGCAAATCCCGGGTTTTTTATTTATTTTTAAATTATTAATTTTAAAAAATATATACATAAATTTAAATGTTCGAAACTTCGAATTATACTCTAACATCCGAACATAAAATTTAAAAGTTTAAAATATAAAATCTAATAATCCATAATATAAATAATTCATTATATATATATATATATATATATAACTGGGTACTCGTGTAACCAAGTACCCGGAAAACTTTAATTTTGTGACCCGAGCTCGACCCGGCCGGATAATTTTTTTTAGAAAGTTACCCGGTTTTCTTAGGTCCGGGTCGACGATTCGGGTCAACCGGGTCGAGTAGTTTTATACACCCCTAATTAAAACCCTTGATATCCAACTTGAGTGCATTCACCAACATTTAAATGAATATATTTGTATTGCTTTATAAGTGCTTAAAGTTTAATTTAATATTTTCAAGTATTTTTAACCAATTTGGTTGTTTTGATAGAATAAAGCATGCTCTCATATTTGTTTATATTTATGAATGATTTAAACAGTAAATATGTTTCTTTATTGATGCTTACGTTATGTTTAATAAAAATAATAATATAATCGTATGTAAATAAATCATTATTCATTTTGAGTCATTTTAGTAATAAATGTGTCATTGTAAATTCGGGTCAAATCATTCCTATCGAATTTAGAGTGTCACATGATTAAACAGCCAAATCAGCCACCAATTAATTGGATTAATGACCATATTAACGAAAAACCTAAAATGAAAATAAAAAGCATATGTTCTAAGAATTCTTAATTATTTAACAATAAATGCTCAATCACTCATTCTGCAATTATTGGTGTTAAAATTTTGATATGACAACTCACATGATAATTGTTGCATTCAAACATCGGTTGAGATGATCCTCCAAATATATTTTAGGCAAAAAAATGATGAGCCAAATAGCATTGAATTCGACACATACATGTATCCAGCAGTAACATGTATCGGAGTTCGCGAATTTGAAAATGGGAATGGCGCCATAACCATTGATGGTTTTGCTGGCCCCTTAAAATAACCTTAGTTGACTTGTTGAAATGCAATCTAGAACAATTCAAAAGCTAAATCCTTCCATTTTGAATGCAAAATCACAAATTTTTTCTTGGTTCCACATATCAGGGGACATCAGAAACAGAAGGGCTCACAGTTACAGAACTCTACACAAAGTTCGTAAAAATGATACAAGAACAAGAACACTATGTAATAATAGAAACAACTAAAACATAGTTATTCATAAATACCAAGAGGCACAAAGTGGTAACAGACTTCAACCAAAGGTTTGAAGATAACCTTTTCTCTAAAATATACATTTATATCTATATATAATCTTAGGTTGGTTGGGTTAAATAAGATGTTCATGGTAGTAAAATGAAACAAAAGAACGTAAAAATCTAACCAAATTCTCCTGGTTTGTCAGATGGGAAATGTAAAAATCATGTATCAATCTGAAGAAGATCAAGTTTCCAGTTCAGGAAATAGAAGACTGACCAGATGAAGCGCCATATAGCTGTATTAAACTTGAGCAAGAATCTTCGATGCAGATATTCTGTGCATACGGAGATTGCTGTTTTCCGATAATTCATCAGCCATGCCCAAACGAAGAATGGTTTCGATATGCAAGATGGAAGAAAGCCCAGAAAGAATGCTCCTATTTTAAGCCCTTCACTTCTCCTCTATCTCAGTGACTTCCTTTTCATTCTTCTTTTCTTGTGTGTTGTTTTGCATTTCAAGTAATTTCTGTTGTTCCTCTGTCTCTTGCTCTGTAGCTATATTAACTGCTTTCAGCTTATTGCTTGTAGACTGCTGATACATAACCCCACCTAGCATACAAATCAAGAGCCCGACAGTCCCAACAAGAGTTGAATGTTTGTCCCAAATGACCAAATTAATCACAACTGTCAATAGCTTGTTAACGATACCGAGAACAGTGAAACCTGTAGCAGAAATTGCCCTTCGGCAAGAGAAACCAAAGAAAGATATAGCCAATCCGAATAAACACGACAAGCCCACAGGCAAAATCACTTCAAAAGTGTGCCGATCGGACTCATCTGAGATTTCATGCTTTATTTTTTTCAACTCCCCCATTATTAGTAGCTCGAGAGGAAACAACAGGAGAGCCTCAAGATTATTGTACAGTACAAGGCCCCATGTGTTCAGATCAATAGTCATTACCACATGCTTTATGTAAACAAAATCTATAGACATGCTTACCAAGTATGCAACAGCCCAAGTATAGGCAGTTAACGTGAACTGGTAATCGGTAAGAACATAAAGAACACTGCCACCAAAGATGGTGGCTAATGAGATCCATATCTTCAATGAAGGCCATGGCTGGTGCAAGAAAAGTGTCTCTCCCATTGCAACAAACATAGGAACTGCTGATCGGAAGACAATGAAAGTGTCAACATTAGCATGTAGGAGGAGTTCACTATTGGTAAAGAGAGAGAGGTAAAATATAACGGCTGCAGGTAGGAACCGCCACATAGTCAGAAGGTCAAGCCGATCGTGCTCAATGATCTTGAACCATCCACAGATTAGTACACCAGCTGCACTTGTTAGGTACTGCAAAGCAGTTAGTGCGCCGGGATAAGGGAATTTCATGATAGCCCATTTGTTGATGATGGAGAGAAGAGAAGCTGAGATGCAGTATCCTGCCGCTACTCCATAGACAGATACTTGCTTTACTACACAACTATACCATGTTTCTTGGGCTTCACTGGAGAGAGCTAAGACTTCAGGACCATTGTTTACAGGATCCTCCATGTCCTTAGACATCTAAGGACAATAAAAAGGTACAATTTTAATACTGGGTCTAACTATTAGCAAGTACATGAAGCGTATACATCTATATCCCAGGCCTTCCAATCCCTTCACTGATTGAACCCACAGCAGGGCAGGGAAACTTTTTTTTTTTCATTTAACATTCAAAAGTGAACTAAATTAGAAAAAAGCAAAAAAATATAAATGAAGCAGATTCATGATACTGTGATTAAGATATTCGATGCAAGGTTACCATGCATAAAAATTATAGGAAATGAAGGAAATAAATCGACATGTTGAGCAACCATTTTGTGTACTGACAATCAGACTCATCCATGACCAAACAAATCTTTTCTGCTGATAAAATAAATAAGAAAAATTTATTTCCAGACTGATGCCAATCTACAGAAGTATTCGGCTAAAAAGAGTTGGAGCACTGCAGAAGGTCGTCTCATGGGAATCACCATTTAATACAAAAATGTTACAGAGTTGGAGACAAACATGTAATGTGGTTATCATTGAGGCTACAAACAAATCAAAATCCAGACCGATAGAAAATGCATCAAATTTGGACACACGCACTAAGAAACTGATACTGATCTACATTCAAATATTTTTAAGCTTTAAAGTCCAAGAAAAATAGCCAGAACCCAAGAAAATGTCAACCCTGAAGCAATCCAAGGCTCCGAACTAGCATTTGTAAGATATAGCACTCAGTTCACTCACGACTATATTCAGATAAAAACAGAAGGATATGTGACTCTAGTACTGCCACAGGCAGATGAACCCAGGAATGGAAATGGCCCGGATTACCACTATTTTGGGTATGAATACCCTTAACATCATCATGTTTCATAATACCAAAAATCCAATAACTACCTAACTATTTTTGAATCTTGCCACCAAAATCCCACCCAAAGTAGATAAGCAAAACGCCTAACCTTGTTATATACCCAAAATTTAGATAGCACTGGTTCAACAAAAAAGAATAAAAGGATCAATAAAAGTAAAAAATCGAACTCTTCAATAAACTACATCAAAATCTTTCAAAGTTCAAACAGAATACATAAATTAAAAGAAAAACTGAAGCTAAGAATTGATGCAAAGAGAAACAAACGTCGAGCCGACAATGTAGCTAAAAGTATATTTAATTCCAACACGAATAAATAAAAATCATAAAATATTTTCAAGCTAACCGGAAAGGATTGCACAAATAAAACGTGGATTTGCATGGAAATAAAGAAAGAAAATCGATCTTTCCTCCTATTTTCATATAAAAAAAAAAAATCTTAGAGTCGAAAAACAACATCTTTGCTTAAGATTATGGGATGAAATGGGTCTGGAAAAAATGTTGACAGAATATAGGAAATCCCCAAAAACCAAGAACAGGGACAGGTAAGAATAACACAGATGGAAACTACAAGTTTAGAACAAATAGAAGTGAAATAATGCAATGATTAAATGAAAAGGAAAGCGATTCCGTTTCCAGATGGGCCGAACAAAGAAATGGAAGAGGAAATAGAGATTTACAAAGAGAAGAAATTACCTGGGAAATTGGAAATCTTCGATACTCTTGAGTGGACCTTGAAGTGCTGCTGCTAGCTACTTGCACGAACTGCTAATTGCTTGTTTCGTTTTTCTCTCGTTTCTTCTAATGAATCTCACTTTCACTCATTTTCAGATTTTATTTTATTTTAAAACGGTGATGATATCATGTTAAAGATTTGGGCCAACCCAAGACCCGACCATTTGGTTTTTTTCCATTCTTTTTTTGAGGAGACGATTTGGTATTTTTACGATGCATTTTCCTTTAAAAATAGCATCAAAACGTTGAATAATATGATTTTCTTAAAGTTAACTTGCAATTAGATATTATTTTTGTGTCAGACAGTTCGCACTGAGGAAAAAACACTAATATTTGATTAAACAAATATTAAAAAATTACCTTTTACGTATTAAATAAATATTTTAATATCTATTTTTAAAGATTTCTTTTAAAATATTTTAACTCAATATTTTTAAAAAAATTTCATAATATTTGATTAAATAATCACTTTAATATTTTTTTATCTATTTTACCCTTAACATTTTATTTTAGGACAAACAACCTCTATTTTAGAGGGTGGACCATTTGTTAACCAACCATTTCTGTTTAAAGAGAATTTGTTTGACTCAAAATAAAACATTGAAATGTCAAAATACTACGAGAAAAAATATGGGCTAAAATAATTATTTAATAAAACATTAGAGGTATTTTCTATCATTATGCTTTAAATTTATATTGACTAGCTACTCAATATGAGCATCATGGATCTTTACAATATTCAATCCGAATCATTCAACCAACAAATTGAATGACTATACCAAAAAAATTGAACTTGATATCTTAACCAATAGTTATTAGGAAGTTAAAGTATGTTGTTCTTCACAATTTGAATGATGACTTCATAAATTAAATATATTGAATTGAGAGAATGACTCCTATGGCGTATCTTTATAGTACTCGATCCGAATCATTCAACCAATAAATCAAATATTGATTATACCGAAAAAAAATTAAGCTTGATATCTTAAACCAATAGATATTAGGGAGTTAAATCAATATCAAATGCAAAAGCAATTGTAAAGATATTACCCGCAAGAGTACATCAAATTATTATTTGGCGGGAGATGTTGACTCCATGTAGTAGCTTATCTATCTCCAATAACCCCAACAACAAAGAGATGGAGCTACTTAGATATTCGATCTCGGCTCTTCTGAGTATAACAGACTATTCCAAGACGGGTTCCGTGGAAGAAAAGTGTCCTGAAAAAGAGCAAAACAAACATACGATCGAACGTAAAGACTTCTGAACCACAACACAACCAGTACCAGAAGTATATGAGAATGAGACGATTCAAATGATCTAATCAGGATGTCAAAGCACATCGAAAGGAACCTAATTTCCTCATCAAGAAAGGAAAACCTGCACTTTGTAGCAGAAAGGGGATCCTAACTTATTGGACCTATTAGCAAATGGGCGCTCTTGAAGAAGATTAGTTTCAAATCTCCAAAATAAATTATTGAAGTAACTGCATCATCCAACGTGGCACAAAAATGTTAAAAGAAGAATGAACCAATGTCATTTTTTTTAGATGAAAAGCAAATAATTGCTACAATCCAACAGTATAGTCAGCTATACAGGCCATTTACAAATCTAATCCCCCCTTCGTGTTACACCCGTGCTAAGCTTAGCTGTATATTAACAGAATACACAAGTCTAAATTTTACATCAGAAAGTCTTAATCACACGGACTCTTTTATCTCAGAAAGTATAGTTTACTCAACTCTTGATGTTCTTCCATTTCTATCCCTCCATATCACGTATATGAAAACGTTTCAAGCTATCCGTAAAATAATAGACAACAATGCTTTGCATTTCAATTTTGTACAAGTCCATTGCAGCTCTCCTTGCCATCCCAATACAGGTCTTTGAAGACCATAGAGTAACAGAATATTCCTCCATATTTCCTTTGAATAGTTACAGACAATAACATTTTTTGCAGACACCAGAGAGCTCATAACTCTAAATGCATCATAACATTTTACTCAACCATTCTGCATACATCATACATAGGCTAAGTCGTCTAGACAGGAAAACTTACAGTATTGTTTCCTTATTAGGGAAATAATTGAATTCAAAGCCTATTCTTCGAGAAAAGAATCATGGACCAATCACCGAGTTAAATAGTAAGAATTTCCTATTATGTTTTAAAATAGCATGGTTTTGACAGGTAGTTTAACATGTAAATGACTGTCATTAACCATGCCACTTTTCTATGTAAAAACTACCCTGATTTTTTGCTCAAGACTCGGATACTATCAACAAAATCATACATACAGACAAATTAGCCACTTTGTCTAACAAACAAAAAAGACCACAGTATGTAATCATATGGTTATGAAAGAGGATAATGATCTAGAAAGTACTGGAAGAAGCTTCTGCTATGCAGAATCTGCTTACCTAGATTCCAACTTCAATTAAATATGTAATTTGAACAGAAGACAAGCATAGGCAACAAAAAAAGGCAATTGCAAAAGCTGATCAGCGACGGGGATGCCGAAAAAGGACTGTTAGCAAGCAAGAGATAGCTAAACAACAGTGTTTAAGATTGTGGTAGAAATTGAATAAGGTGAGGAAGAAAGAATTTGGATTGAGAAGGGTAAAATTGGTTTGTGTCATTCAATTGATCGAAAATTCCCGTCTTAAAAGTTCGAAAATTTTCCCTCTGAAGACTCTAATCCTTTAGTAATCGAATGGGTCATCATTAAACAAGTCTAGTTCTAAATAAACCAGAGTTCCTAAATCATACAAATACAGTAGTAACAGTAAGCAACATTTTAGGGTTTCCTAAAATATTTCACAGTTTATCGGATTTTGAGAACCAAAACAAGAATATAGAAACCCAGGAGCTAAATCCAACAGTAAAACAAAAACCCATGGAAAGAAGCAGAGAGAGAGAGAGAGAGAGAGAGAGAGAGGGAGAGAGAAGGGACTAACGGAGACATAAGAGCAAGAGGTAATGACCGACAAGGAGTGAGACTTGGCATGATTGAAGGCAGCAACACAGAGATGAGAAGCCAAGCCCAAGCCTCGTTTGGAAGATGGGACGAAAGTGTGGACGATGTCCATTACTTTGCCGTCTTGTCTCAATACGTATTCGACGTAGGCTTTCTTGTCTTCTGTCTCGAACCTCCTTTGGGTCTCGTTCCACGCTATGTTTGGCGCCGCCGGGGAGCTTCCTATTGCACTGCTGGCGGCCATATCTCTGGTGGTCTCCTCTTATCTCTTCAAGTGTCGAGTTTCGGTGTCCCTTGATCGGTGTACTGATCTTTTTTTAGGCAATGCTTCGTCGGAAGGAAGGATCGAATGATAAAATCTGGCTGTTTTGGTGTATATTACGCGAGTAGATCCGAGACAAACCATAGGTCAAAGTTGGAATTTGATCTTAGCCGGCGTTAAGAAGAGCACATCAAACAAGGCATAGATTATGTCTTCCATACATTGTATATTTAAGTTATTTAAAAATAGGCTTAAACTAAAAAAAAATCCTAAAACTATATTTTTCTTCTTTATGCCCTTAAATTATTTTTTTATCAAAAATAAATCTTTAAACTTTAATATATAACTATTTTAAGTAGTTAAATTATTTTTTATAAAAATAAGTTCATAAATTATTTTTTAGCCTCTAAATTATTTTTTAGTTGAAACAAGTACTTAATTTTATATCTCGTGTTAATATCTTATTGACCAAAATAAAACTTTTAAACTAAAAAATAGTAAGATTTCAAATAATTAGTTATAATAGTTTAAAGATTTAGTTTGATCAAAAAATAGTTTAGGGGCTTAAAAAAACATAGTTTAAGTATTTACATTACTTTAAGCCTTAAAAATAATCTAATTAAATATAATTATTTTTTGAAAATATTATTATTCTTTGAAAATAAATTTAAATTTGAGTAATTATATTTGTATATAACACTAATATGATATGTTAAGCACTTAGGTTAACTTACTTGATATTGTTTGATCACGTACTTCAATATAAATTTTGTTTTTCATTTGCTCCACCCCCTTATTAGTTTCACCACAATGAAAATTTCATGGCCACAGCGGGCATCAAAGCACGAAAACAATCCTCCATATGAAGTTGATCTTCGCTCATGTTTTGTTCTTCATTCGACATTGTCAAAACCTTCTCCACGCTATTTGAAGAAACTTTGTTGCCGTCACCATTTTCGTCTCACTCGAACATATGCGAGAGTTGGATCCTCCACAGTCCACGTCTCTAGATTCGAAACCATCCCTTCATGCTCCTGTCTAAACTCCAACTTTAGGAATATGTTGTAATCAGTTTGTTAGTGTGTTATTAGGTTGGCTATGGGTTATAAATATTGAATAACGCAATCTCAGTTCACAATAATAAAAATCCCATTTACGTTTCTACTGCTTACTAATACATTCTGACCCTAGCACCACTCTCTTCTATTTCCAACCTTGGCATTGCATCTCCGGTAATCGTCGTTCATCTATTCCGGCACCATGTCGGAATTCGCACAATTAACAATTTAATAACAAATTAAGAAACTGATTACAACTTATTCCTACCATTAACTTCTTCTGGATGATTAAACAATGTTTATCCACTGTCTATCAAATGACAAACAACTTTTTCACATTACAACCTATCTACTCTTAAATTTCTAGCCGTATCCCGTTCGTACCCCGAATTGAAACTTTGCAAATCTGTTTTGGCTCTTCTCTGAACTCGCATGATTCGATGACTCAAATGATGAAGATGAGGATGAGGATGGTGGTGTGTTTCCATCCTTATTCACTGTTTGACCATGAGAGTCAGCACTAGCTCTTGGAGACTCTGGATCTCTTTTGGGTGAATATCTTTCATTAGAATGTAATTTCCAAGGTTCTATGTTGATAATGCTCATTATTCCACTAGTATTGGATAGTGGTTATTCCACTAAGTATTGGATATTGATTATCCCACTAGTATTGGATAGTGGTTATCCCACTAGTATTGGATGGTGGTTATCCCACTAGCATTGGATAATGATTATCCCACTAGTATTGAATGATGGTTATCCCACAATGTTTAATAGAATTAAAATATGTTTTGGAAATGATGATTTTGCCCTCACTATTTAGCCTATAAATAGTGGGTAATTTCATTCATTTTGAGATATCCCAAGCAAAACATTTGCTTTGAAACACTCTTCTCTTTTGAGTGTTGTTTGAGTTGAGAGAAGAGCAATACCACCAAGTTCACTCCAATTTTTGGGTGTACGAATTCTAGGAGAGCCGTGTTAACCTCGGGGGAACGGTCCGCCTACTGCAACAATTACACGCATCGGGGCGAATTCGTTTCTAAGGCAGTGGTTTTACCACGACACAATTTATGTATATGTTCTTTTTAAATTACTATTTATCTTTCCTGTCAGTGCTAACGGTGTGATTTTGCAGTCCATATTTCCAACAATTTAGAAACAAATTCCTTTATACTGCAATTATGACATCACATTTGAGCAAACTAATTCCTGATCTTTCCAAGCTCGATGCACTTGCTGGAAAGAATTATCGAATATGGTCCCAACGAATCCTCATATTCTTTGAGCAGCTTGATCTTGATTATGTGTTGCTGAAGTCACCACCTACCATGCCGCCAAACCCATCTGCCGAAAATGATACAGATGTGGTTCTGAATGATGATGCCTTAGCAGCTGCCACCGCCGCTCTCGTTATCTACGAGAAATACAAGAAAGATAACAAAACGGTGCGAGGACATCTGCTCAGTCACATGTCAAATAAATTATTTGATATGTTTCTTAGAGAAAGAAGTGCCAAAGCTATTTGAGACACTCTAGAGAAAAAGTATGGTGCAGATGATGTGGGCATTAAAAAATACGTTGTCGGTGAATGACTTAAATTCCAGATGACAGACGATAAGCCGATAATGGATCAAGTTCATGACTATGAGAACTTGGTTGCTGACATCATCGCCGAAGGGATGCAAATGTGTGAGGTACTGCAAGCCAATGTTCTCATTGAGAAGCTGCCCAAGTCCTGGTCCGACTACCGCAATTCTCTTAAGCATAAGAAGAGAGAAATTTCACTTGAAGAGTTGGTGGGCCATATGAAGATTAAAGATGCCAATCGTTTAAAAGATAAGGTTACTAATTCTCTGAGTAATTTATCTTTTAGAGCTAACTTGGTTGAGTCTAGATTCAAGAAGCGTGGGAATCAAGACAAGAAGACAAAACCTTATAAGGTTATCAACTTCAAGAAGTCAGGAAAGGCCAAACCTGAAGGAAAGACGCTCAAGTGCTATGTCTGTGGTTTAGCCGACCACAAAGCTTACCAATACCAACATCGCTCAGATCGCCATAATAACAACAAGTCACAAATGTATGTTGTAGAAGAAGATGGTGAAATCATTGCTGCGGTGGTCTCAAAAGTTAATCTGGTGTAAAACAGTTCGGAATGGGTAGTTGACACTGGCGTTTCGAAGCATTTCTGCTCAAGGAAGGAGTTTTTCACTGAATTCGAGGATGGGAACATAGGTGAACGTGTGTACATGGGGAACTCTAGCAGCTTTGAAGTGCTAGGAAAAGGCAAGGTTTTACTCAAGCTGACTTCTAGTAAAACTCTGACCTTAAATAATGTTCTGTATGTACCTGCCTTGTGTAGAAATTTGATAAGTGGTGGGCTTCTGAATAAGGCAGACATTAAGTTAGTTTTTGAGGCATATAAACTTGTACTTTCCCGAAATGGTGATTATGTTGGGAAATACTTTTTAAACAATGGTTTATTTCTTATAGAAACTCAATTTAATGAAAATAAAGCTACCACTTCTACTTATATTGTTGAATCCATTGATATATGGCATGCGAGATTAGGACACGTGAATATTCATGGTTTAACGAAATTGATGAATATGAATGTTCTGCCTAAACTAAACATAACTAGCTTTAACAAATGTAAAATTTGTGTAGAAGCTAAGCATACTAGACCTCACTTTAAGACCATTTCTAATAGAAAGACTGAGCTTTTAGAACTCATTCATACTGATCTAGCAGATTTTAGAAACACTGAAAGTAAAGAAGGAAAACACTACTACATAACTTTTGTAGATGATTATTCAAGATATACAAAAGTTTATCTCCTAAGAACTAAAGATGAAGCTGAAAACTTCTTTCTTATTTATAAGGCAAAAGTTGAAAATCAGTTAGATAGGAGAATCAAACGGGTTAGATCTGATAGAGGTGGTGAATATGAATCTAATTTCTTAAAAGATATTTGTGAAAAGAATGGCATAATTCATGAAGCTTCAACCCCCTATTTTCCTCAACAGAATGGTATAGCCGAAAGGAAAAATAGAACTTTAAAAGAGATGATGAATTCTTTACTAATAAGTTCAGGGTTATCTGATAACATGTGGGGGAAGCCATTCTATCGGCAAGTCATATCTTGAACCGAGTTCCTCATAAGAAATTATATTCTAGCCCATATGAATTATGAAAAGGACACGCTCCTAATTTACAATACCTGAAAGTGTGGGGGTGTCTAGCCAAAGTGGGTTTTCCAGACTTTAAGAAGTCAACCATCGGACCTAAAACCGTTGATGCAGTGTTTATAGGGTATGCTACGAATAATGCTGCATACAGATTCATGATTTTACAAGATTATTCTATTTGTGAGTCAAGAGATGTTGTTTTCTTTGAAAATACTTTTCCTTTAAAGGAACCGAGACAAATAGAATATATTCCATCCACTTCTTCTAGTAATCTTGCTAGGTCTTCTGAACAAATTATTTTTTAGCCTAGAAGAAGTAAAAGGCAAATAGTTGAAACATTTTTTGGACCAGACTTTATTACTTCCTTTATTTATGAGATAAATGATTTAGACTCCATTTCAGATCCTATAGCTCAAATTTTTCTGTTAGATGAGGATCCTAAAACTTTTGAAGAAGCTATAAGATCTATCGATGCTAGTTTATGGAAAAGCGCTATTAATGATGAACTAGAATCGATAATGTCTAATCATACTTGGGAATTAGTTGACTTGCCTAAGGGATTCAAACCAATCTGCAACAAATGGGTCTTCCGAAAGAAATTGAGGCCAGATGGTTCGATTCAGCGGTACACGGCAAGGTTAGTCATCAAAGGGTTCACTCAAAGGTTTGGTTTAGACTACTTTGATACATACTCTCCCGTTACGAAAATCTCAACGATTCGTGCATTATTTGTGCTAGACTCTATTCATAAGTTACAGGTACATCAAATGGATGTTAAGACTGCTTTCTTAAATGGGGATCTAGATAAAGAGATTTACATGGAGCATCCACTAGGATTTGAAGCACCTGGTATGGAAGGAAAAGTCTATAGACTTAAAAAGTCACTTTATGGACTTAAGCATGCTCCTAAACAATGGTATGAGAAATTCCATAAAATTATTCTTAGTTTTGGTTTTGTTGTGAATGGTTCGGATGCTTGTGTTTATTCAAAGATGTTTGGCACTGAATATGTCATCATAAGTTTGTATGTTGATGACATGTTGATTTTCAGTTCTAACATTGAGTCCATAAACAAAGTTAAAAATTTATTGTCCACTAAGTTTGAGATAACAGATTTGGGAGAAGTAGATGTAATCTTAGGAGTAAAAGTTACCAAAACTGAAAAGAGATTTTCTTTAAGTCAAGCACATTATATAGAGAAAGTGCTAAAGAAATTTGACAGTTATGATGTCGTCCCTGTTTGAACTCCTTATGACCTTAACATACATCTAGTTAAGAATAAAGGAAGTAGCGTTTCCCAAACTGAATATACTAAATTAATCGGAAGCTTAAAGTTCTTAATGAACTATACTCAGCCTGATATTGCTTATGCTGTGAGTAGACTGAATAAATGTACTCATAATCCGAGTAGTGAACACTGGATTGCTCTTAATTGCTTACTGAAGTATCTTAAGGGTACTTTGGATTGGAAACTTGAGTTTGTTGGCTTTCCTGCGATATTAGAAGGATATTGTGATGCTAAATGGGTTTATGATAATGACGAGGTAACCTCTACGAGTGGGTATGTTTTTACTTTGGGTATAGCATCAATCTCGTGGAAATCATCAAAGCAGACTTGTATTGCTCGTTCTGCCATGGAGTCAGAGTTTATAGCTCTTGACCTAGCTGGGCAAGAAGCTGAGTGGCTTAGAAGCTTGTTAGCAGATATTCCGTTGTGGGGAAGACCGACTCCTCCAGTTTCATTGTTGTGTGATTCAAAAGCTGCAATATGTGTGGCTAAGAACCAAACTTACAATGGTAAGAAAATAAACATTCGCATAAGACATGAATCAGTTAGACACTTAATAAAGAATGAAGTGCTCTCTTTAGAGTATGTGAAGTTGGAAAGGAACCTAGCAGATCCACTTACCAAAGGGTTAAGTCTGAAAATGGTCCTAGATTCGTCGAGGGGGATGGGTCTAAAGCCCATTGGTTGAGGAATTCATGGTGGATACCCAACTTAGTTATCTAAGTTCCATGTGGTCAAACGAAACCATGGAAAGACTCATAGTGCATATTCCTACTGCCTATCCCTACGATGAATAATGTGCATGCTTAGGATGAGCTTAATTGCTCTTAATAAATTCATAGCGCAGGCTTTGGGTGGCCTTAGTGAGAAAGACTTGATGAATTTACCGATTTTTTGGCTGAATATCTATTCTTAATAAGTTCATAACCAGAGTTGAGTGGGTAGTTCTAATCGCGAAGGACTAGATGAACTTACCGCTTGAGATGATGAGTTTTATTAAACTCTTAATGAGTTCAAACCCAAGAGTTTGAGAGTTCCTAGTGAGAAGGACATATTGAATTCACCGAATTATGAGGTTGAATATTTATTCTTAATGACTTCTTATCCCAGAGTTTGGGTGGTTCATTAATAATGAACTTGAAGAAAGTCACCATACCCTTTGTGAGGTTGAGCTATTATAAAAACTCTTAATTATTTCATATCCCTTTTAAGGGTGGTTTATGTCAAGATAAACTTGATGAAATAACCTACTTAAGTGAGAACTATTAGCCACCTTCTATGAAAAACGTTGGGCCATTTTTCTAGTACACTTATTAGAATCCTGAGGAAAGAGAGCTAAAATACGATTTTGTATATACTCTTTGTAGACATATCGAGGACTTTGGTGGATGAAGGGGTTAGTTGTGTGTTATGAGTTTACCCTCATCTTAGAAAGTTCAAGACTAGTTTCACTTATATAAGAGAAAGATTGCTCATCATCACTATGTACTAGTTCCAGATACGTTCACTAGTGCTTAAGCAACTAATCTCGTTATTGCTCTTCTCGTGTTTTAACTTTATTGCTCTCATATTTCAGAAGAATTCTTTCGTATTAGTGGGGGAATGTTGATAATGCTTATTATTCCACTAGTATTGAATAGTGGTTATCCCACTAGTATTGGATAGTGGTTATTCCACTAAGTATTGGATATTGATTATCCCACTAGTATTGGATGGTGGTTATCCCACTAGTATTAGATAGTGGTTATCCCACTAGTATTGATTGATGGTTATCCCACTATGTTTAATAGAATTAAAATATGTTTTGGAAATGGCGATTTTGCCTTCACTATTTAACCTATAAATAGTGGGTAATTTCATTCATTTTGAGATATCCCAAGCAAAACATTTGCTATGAAACACTCCTCTCTTTTTAGTGTTGTTTGAGTTGAGAGAAAAGCAATAACACCAAGTTCACTCCAGTTTTCAGGTGTACGAATTCTTGGAGAGCCGTGTTAACCTCGGGGGAACGGTCCGCCTACTGCAGCGATTACACACATCGGGGCGAATTCGTTTCTAAGACAGTGGTTTTACCACGACACGGTTTATGTATCTGTTTTTTTTAATTACTATTTATCTTTAATGTCAGTGCTAACGGTGTGATTTTACCGTCCATATTTCCAACATTCTCCACCACCAGCTTGGGGCATCAACGATCCTCTGGACAACTCCAGTATGCTCGTGGTATCGATTAACAAGTCTTCAGAGATTTAAGTTGGTGTAATTAAATGCATGATGACTGCAATAGTTGACTGTTTTATCTTTGATTCAACGATAGAATTTCTAGTTTGCTGGAGCTCAGCTTCCAGTTGCTTTCTTGAGAGCTCTTCTTCTTCCGATTCTTTAGACTTTACTGAATTTTTTCATGGAAATGCCTTTTCCTTTTCAACTTCCGTTCCGTTTCTAACGAATCGATCTTCATGTACATCATTTGAGCATCATCTTTGATGCTAATGAGTTGAGACTCGAGAAGTTGCTTCGATTCATTTGTGTTCGCTGAAACTTGCTCCGACATGGTCCTTTCCTTTTCGATTTCTGCTTCTAATGAGTCGATCTTTGCAGACATCATCCAAGCCTCTGCCTTGATGCTAATGAGTTGAGACTCGAGAAGTTGCTTCGAGTTAGACTCATTTGAGTTAGCAGAAACTTGCTCTGACAATCTCCTTTCCTTTTCAATTTCCGCTTCTAATGACTCGGCCAAGTGTTGCTTGCTCGCTGTTTCCGCTGCTTGGGTGCTTAGGTCTTTTTTTTTTTTGGTTCATAGAAAACCACTGGAATCAGTGGGAAGTTCTCCTTCTCAACGCCATTTGATCAGCATTGAGGATACTTTGGATTCAGAGGGAGGGACCGTGTGCATGTGGAGGCCTATGCTTACCTCTCTTTCAATTGTTCTGAGTTCCATCTTTTCCAAATATTATGCATGCTCATGCTCATGCTCCAGGGCTGAATTTTCCTCCTCCAAAACTTCAATCATATTTTATTCAATTTAGTCATTTAGGTAATTTAGTAAATTTTTTATAGATTATTTTTTTGTCAATTCATTTAAATATTTTATACTTCATTAATAATTTATCTTTAAAATATTTTATTTAAAAATAAAATTATAAATATATTTTATAATTATAAATATTCTTTGATTTATTATATATCAATACAAATCTTACTTACACGTGTAAAAATATATAAAGAAATATCTATGTATATCTTATATTATTAGATGAAATCATTTAAATTGTATGTATTGTAACATTATAAAAATTATAAGTAAATTTAAAGATAAACTCGAATAATTCGATTCGAATTTTATAAATTCAATTACAATTGAATTTTTAAAAAAAATAAAATTTGAATAATAAAATAGGATTCACTAACTTGATTAATTTTAAAAAAATATTTACTTGACTCTATTAAATATTCATCTTTAATCTTACTCAATGATCTAATACATCGCACTGGAACAAGTAAGCGTTGGTGGTACATAATAAATTTTGATGCATGAAATTATCACCCGCCATAGAAACATGTCAAGAGCGACGTGGGCAGTCTCATAGCCTGTAACCAGCCCTCTCACCACATCCACATCTCCCTCTCCCTTGTTCAGAAACACAAATTTGGAATCTAAAAGCATTAAAAGAAAATGAAAGGATATCAAGCTTCAAAAGACAAATATATCTTCCTCTCCATCACAAACATATCTCTTGAGATTCACAATCAATGGCTCAAACCATGCTGGTAATGTCCAGTACCAGCGCTTCAACAAGCCATGCACTGAACTTGAAGAGAGGCCATCCTCTTCTCCATTCCCAAGCACAAGGCTTAAATCCTAAACCCTTGTCCCATTTATTCTTCAATCCACTCTCCAACATTGTTGTTGCTTCATCATCAAGATCTTTCACCACTTTTGCAATCTTCAAGTCAAAGACCAAAGCTGCTCCCAAGAAGGTAATTTTTTTTCACTTTTTCTTCAGCTGGATGTCTTTTTGTCTACTTGGTTGTTTAATTAACTTGATTTTTTTTAATTATACCATATCTTTTGTACTTGAAAAAGGCTGTGCCGAAGCCGAAGCAAAAGGTTGAAGACGGAATCTTTGGCACATCTGGAGGGATTGGTTTCACCAAGCAAAATGAGCTCTTTGTTGGACGTGTTGCCATGATCGGCTTTGCTGTAAGTAAATTGCCATGCTCTTTTTCTTTAAAGTGTTTTAACCTCAATGTTTCATTATAGGATAAAAACGTTTATATTTTACAGGATTATCCCGTTTGTTGACTATCGATTTCCTTCTACCGAAGGATATTTTTATCTAAATTGAAATTTTAGGGTTAAAATGATCTAAAAAAGTGACTACTTATTTGAACCTTAGGGACATCTCTATCATTATGCAGTGATTCATTCTATGATTAAACGGTGATTTAAGAGATTTGATTTGTTAATTGTTCAAATATATTGTTTTTGAGGGTTGGTGTTGTTTTGTTAGAAATTATAATAAGCAAATTATATATATATATATATATATATGCAGGCATCCTTGTTAGGTGAAGCAATAACAGGGAAAGGAATTCTAGCACAGTTGAACCTGGAGACAGGCATTCCAATTTATGAAGCTGAACCCCTTCTTCTCTTCTTCATCCTCTTCACCCTCCTTGGAGCTATCGGAGCTTTGGGCGACCGAGGCCGCTTCGTCGACGAGCCTTCCACAGGCATTGAAGGGGCAGTCATCCCTCCTGGGAAAGGCATTAGGAGTGCCTTGGGTCTCAAGGAAGGAGGTAAACATGAATCATTCCACCAAATTCAACAAGACTTTACATTGAATCCTACATACATTGTCAGTGCATTAAATATAAACCCGTTCGTGTCGAACAGGTCCGTTGTTCGGGTTCACAAAGGCAAATGAGCTGTTTGTGGGGAGATTGGCTCAGCTGGGAATTGCCTTCTCGTTGATAGGAGAGATTATAACGGGGAAAGGAGCACTGGCACAGCTAAACATTGAGACAGGGATTCCAATTAGCGACATTGAACCACTTGTGTTGCTCAACGTTGCCTTCTTCTTTGCTGCTGCTATAAATCCCGGGACTGGTAAATTTATCACTGATGAAGAAGAAGACTAGATTTCCCTAAGCAATTTGTAATTAACGTCATCTACATTTCTCTCCCCTTTTTCTCATGTATCAGTGAATTGCTGCATTGCTTTTAAACAACAGTGTTGTGGAAAATAATGAAAAAGGATTACGAATTCGAAGAATACTCGACATAATTTCCTAAAGCTGGTAAATAAAATCCTAAGCAATAGGGGGAAATTATCAATATTGTTTCTCAAATTATGCTTTAATAAGGATAATCTTGAACCAAATATTTTAAAATATAAAGTACTAAAACCAATGAGGTTGGTTCAAATGGTAAGTAGCTTGATATTGCTTAAGCAAGGTTTTAGGCTCAAGTCATTGTGTATGTAGAAAATCTATCTTTTGATACATTTTGTTTTTAGTCGTTTGACATTTTTGATTATCTTTTCTCTTAGGGTTGGATTTGACTTCACTACAAATGATCAAGATGCCGTTTATTTGTTATTATTATGATCACTGGTGGAAGTATATACTGATGGGTGTCTAAAGTTTCTAATTTTTCCCACATATAATTTTTCTAGTTCTTCCCCTTATGTTGATCTTTGTTGAAAACATTTTGATATTTCGATATAACAAATTAAGTTAAATGAATTTTAAGATTTTCCAAAATGATTTTCTAAGTATATTCGATATAATTATTCGAATATCAAAACATTACTCAAAATATTTCAAAAATCATTTTTAATCCTTACTTAAGTGTAAAATTAAGTTTTAATCTTAAAACAATTTCAAAATAATCTTTCAAAGTATTTCGAACCATTTCAAAGCCAAAAATTCCAGATTGCTCAGAGGGAACCGATTCCCCCCAAGGGGGTACCGATTCCCCTTGAATGGTTTGGCTCCGAGATTTCCAAAATGCTCGGAGGGAACCGATTCCCCCATAGGGGGTACCGATTCTCCCCTGTTCAACGGTCGAAATATTTGAATTTTACACTTAGGGAACCGATTCCCCATAGGGGGTACCGATTCCCCCCACGCTCCAAATTGTTTTATTAATTGTTTTCACACTAAAACGGCTATATGATCTTCACTAATCATCCCCAACGTTCAGAAGTGATTCAAGGTGTATTTAAACAAGTTCTGAAGCCCTTGATCAAGAAGAAATCATAGAGAAACAAGAGAGAAAGCATCAAACACCAAGTTTGTGCAAATCAAGCCAATTTTCCTTTCAATATTCATTTTGCTTTCAAGAACACCATTTGTGCTCATTTGTAATTATCTTTGAGTGTTCTTTTCTTGTTCTAGAATTGTGCAAACATCTTACCTTGTGAGGTTTTCTTGTAAGTTTGCAAATTTGTAATCTTCTCTTTGGGAAAAAGAGTGTTCTCAAGAGTTGGGGTATACTCTTGAGGGATTTTGTAAGGTTATCTCTTTGGCCTCAAAAGAAAGAACAAATTAGTGAATTTGTTGGAAAATCCTTAGTGTGGATAGCTAAGGTAGTGGACGTAGACTTTGTTTGAGAAAGTCGAACCACTGTAAATCGCTGTGCAATTACTTTCAATTTTTCTGCAAAAGCTTCCACGAAATTTTTAATTGCCAATTCACCCCCCTCTTGGCCGATTTCGTCGATCGATTAACTCAACAATCTTCCTTGCTTTGGACTATCATATTGGATTTAAATAATTTGTGTTCGTGGATGTTTTCTCACGTTACCTGATTATGATTTGCGATTCGTCAATGGTCTTGTAATAGCTTAATATTCTTTTGTAGTTCTTCATCGATGCAATTAGATATGTTCGTATCCCTCTTTTATTCAAGTTTATTTAATTATATTTCTTAACATTTCCTTTGTATGGTTCTTGTGTGATCTTAAATTACTAGGTTTTTGTGAGAATGATTATAAGAAAATACATTTAATATATGTTTAGCTTACTGTTATTATCGTAAACCTTTATTATAATTTGAATACTATTTATTTTTAATAAAATTTGTTGTTTCTATATTGTAAAAAACAATTTCTCTAATGTTAAATTGGTTTTTTTATCAAAACAAAAATATTTTAAAAGTTATTCACCGTCTAGATATTTTGCTTATTCTAGAAAACAATCTAAAAAATATTAATACGAATCAAACGATCTTAGTGGTTAAGAAGTTTGTTGTTATCTATTGAGGTCTCGTGTTCAAGCACTGTACACACATTAATATGATCGTTCATTGACAAATGATTGGTAGTTTTTGAACATATACTATTTTGTATTTACCTTTTTTTATTAAAAAATATAAAAAAATACCAATAATAATCTAATAATAAATTTTAAAAAAGTTATGAGAACAATTTCATAATAGTTATTTAAAAATAAGAATAAAAATAAATAAACTTATGATTGAATTTTAACTTAATTGATATTATTATTATTATTGTCGTGATATTTTAGAGTTTATAAATTTAAATGCTAGCACATCTCTAATTTAAAGATTCGAGGTTATACTAATGTAAATGAATTTAAAATTTAAATTAAATCAATTAATAAAATAAATTTCAAATGAAATACAATATAAAATTAAATTTCAATATTTATAATAAATTGTTAATATACAATTAATCAGAAAAATAATAGGAAAACTTTGTCAACATTATATCAATTAAAACACCTCTTTAATGGGTATAAATCAATGCTACTAATCATTCCACAAATAAAAACAAATATAGGTTGGTGACTTTATTATGCTACATACTTATTCCCCTCTTAATGACTAAAATAAGGACACTTGTAAATTAAGAATAAAAAATATATATATAGTCGGGTTTAATTATGTTCTTAGTGCTTATATTCTTCAGACTTTTAATGATAAGCCCCAACCAATCTCACAATTTAACTTCTTAAAATTGTTATATAAATTTTAATGAAATTCTTAAAAACAGTATCAATCTCATTAATAAAATTTACTATTACATTTATTTTGTATAATATCAGTATTATTATTTAGAGTAATAATATTGTATTAATATATTACCTTTTATATTTTTAATAAACTAAGTGAATATTAGTTTAAGACCCTCCAAAAATCACTTTTTTGAATTGTATCCCTAAGCAAGATTTTTTTTGAAAAAAATACCTCCAAACTACACATGGAAGACAACCTCACATCCTACAATAAACGTGGAAACACCTTGCGTTCTATAGGCTGCGAGTCTCCTCTAACGTAGATAAACTTTCAAAGAATGTATTTTAATATTTCAATTAACGACCTCACGTTACGTAGAACGCGAGGTTCCCAAGATATTGACAATTTATCGCGTTCTTAAAAAATTTGAAATGTGAAAATAGATTCCACGATCTCGCGTCCTACAAAGCGCGAGGTCCGTCTGAATATGCATCTTCTCAACATACCTCGCTTCTTATATAACGTGAGTTTGCTTTTAAATCGTTTTGGATGGGATGTGACGACTCCTATAAATAAGGCCCCCTAAACCGAATTTATCACACTTTCCTCCCTATATATATATATATATATATATATATATATATATATATATATATATATATCATTTTTTGTAACACCCCAAATATCGGGTCAGTGACTAAAGTGTAAGGATTAAAAAGTTAGTGGTTTAATTTTGATAATTAGAAAAGTTGAAGGACTAATTTGGAAAATTTGCATATAGGACTTATTATTAAAGATTGAAGGTTAGAAAGGCAAAGTGGTATATTTTCATGAAAGGAATTAAAAATTCATTTATAAGGTTATTTAAGCATGTGGGAAATGAGGGAAAAAAGAAAGAAAAATTCTAGATACTCTTCTCTTCTCTTATTCTCTTCCACCATATGCTTCCATGATTAAGGTAAGTTGGTTGAAGTTGTTTTATTCCTTCATTTTTGATTTGGTTTTGGTTCCTTTGGTATTATATAAGCTTAATAAAGCTTAAAGATGAGCTGAAACTAAGAGATGGATAAATTAATGGTGATTTAGTAAAATGGGTTTTTGAGGGAATTGTTAGGAAATGATGAATATTTGAATTGTAATGGAATATTTGACTTGTCAAAGGTTTAATTAAGGGATTAAAAGTATCAAAAAATGATCAAGAACATGTTTAAAGAAGTGATATGATTTTCAGTCTCAAAAGTTATATGGATAAATTTGGATATCTAAAGGAGATTATTGTATATAAGTTAATTGGAGTAAGAGTAAGTTTAAAGGCATGAATGGGGTATAAAGTAGGATATTTAAGTGAAGATGAGTAAAATTTCGAAGGGAAACAGAAGAATTTTGGGTAAGGGTATCAGTATTGGAAGAACAATACCAACACTATAAGGTTAAATTTAAAGAATTTTGTATGAACCGAAGAACAATATCGATACTAATTGAATTAGTATCGGTACTGAGGTGGAGATATTGATACTGTAGTTGAAGGGGGATTTCCATAATGCTAAAATGGTATCGGTATTGAAGTGGGTATCGATACCATAGAATAAAAGTATCGGTACTGTAGGCAGAGTATCGATACTAGTTAGTCTGAAATGTTAAATTAAGTGTTTTATTTCGTTTAAGTAAAGATTAATTGGGTAGATGTATTTGAGTTCCGACATTCATGGGTCATATTATTATGTAGACTTGATCAGAATCAAGTGCTGAATGAATGGATGTGCAAAGCTAGTAAGCTGAAGGAAAAGAGATGTTGCTTAGGGCTTAATTGAGGCAAAGGTGAGCTCTATTTATTTAAATAAATTATGATTGGAGGAAGGCTTGCGATGAGCCAACCTAAAAATGTTTTTAACCAAAATGAAAGGACATGAGTTTATATGAAGATTTTCTATATGAGTATGATTCATATAAGTAAATGAATAGGTGAAATAATGATATGTAATATGAAATAGTTATGTGAATCACTATGAATAAATGTTATGTGATTAAAGGAAAATATTGAAGAATGCTATGAGAAATAAAATACTTTAAATAAATGTTTGGATGTGAATAAATAAGAAAAGTGATAATGCTATGTGACAAAGATCTACGCGAAGTGTATGTGAATATGTGATATATGTATATGTTTTATAGAACATAAATGATGTGAAGCAAAATGTGATATATGTGAATTGTTCTACATGAAAGAAAACTACGAGAATGTACTCTAT